CCATTCTGAGAATTTACCATTTATTCCTACCCTTTGTTCCCTGTCTTTTAACCAGTTCTCAGTCCATGAAAGGACCTTCCCTTTTATCCCACGGCAGCTTAATTTGCATAAGAGCCTTTGGTGAGGGACCTTGTCAAAGGCTTTCTGGAAATCTAAGTACACTATGTCCACTGGATCCCCCTTGTCCACATGTTTGTTGACCCCTTCAAAGAATTCTAATAGATTAGTAAGACACGATTTCCCTTTACAGAAACCATGTTGACTATTGCTCAACAGTTTATGTTTTTCTATGTGTCGGACAATTTTATTCTTAACTATTGTTTCAACTAATTTGCCCGGTATAGCCGTTAGACTTACCGGTCTGTAATTGCCGGGATCACCTCTAGAGCCCTTTTTAAATATTGGCGTTACATTAGCTAACTTCCAGTCATTGGGTACAGAAGCCGATTTAAAGGACAGGTTACAAACCTTAGTTAACAGTTCCGCAATTGCACATTTGAGTTCTTTCAGAACTCTTGGGTGAATGCCATCTGGTCCCAGTGACTTGTTAATGTTAAGTTTATCAATTAATTCCAAAACCTCCTCTCGTGACACTTCAATCCGTGACAGTTCCTCAGATTTGTCACCTACAAAAGCCAGCTCAGGTTTGGGAATCTCCCTAACATCCTCAGCCGTGAAGACTGAAGCAAAGAATCCATTTGGTTTCTCCACAATGACTTTATCGTCTTTAAGCGCTCCTTTTGTATCTTGATCATCAAGGGGCCCCACTGGTTGTTTAGCAGGCTTCCTGCTTCTGATGTACTTAAAAAACATTTTGTTATTACCTTTGGCTAGCCGTTCTTCAAACTCCTCTTTGGCTTTTCTTATTACATTCTTGCACTTAATTTGGCAATGTTTATGCTCCTTTCTATTTGTCTCACTAGGATTTGACTTCCACTTTTTAAAGGAAGGCTTTTTATCTCTCACTGCTTCTTTTACATGGTTGTTAAGCCACGGTGGCTCTCTTTTAGTTCTTTTATTGTGTTTCTTAATTTGGGGTATACATTGAAGTTGGGCCTCTATTATGGTGACTTTAAAAAGCGCCCATGCAGCTTGCAGGGATTTCCATTTAGTCACTGTACCTTTTAGCTTCTATTTAACTAACCCCCTCATTTTTGCATAGTTACCCCTTTTGAAATTAAATGCCACAGTGTTGGGCTGTTGAGATGGTCTTCCCACCACAGGGATGTTGAACGCTATTGTATTATGGTCACTATTTCCAAGCGGTCCTGCTATAGTTACCTCTTGGACCAGCTCCTGCGCTCCACTCAGGACTAAATCTAGAGTTGCCTCTCCCCCTGTGGGTTCCCATACCAGCTGCTCCATGAAGCAGTCATTTAAAGTATCGAGAAATTTTATCTCTTCATTTCATCCTGAAGTGAAATGTTCCCAGTCAATATGGGGATAATTGAAATCCCCCACTATTATTGAGTTCTTAATTTTGATAGCATTTCATCATCACTATCACTGTCCTGGTCAGGTGGTCAATAATAGATCCCTAATGTTATATTCTTATTAGAGCATGAAATTTCTATCCATAGAGATTCTATGGAACATGCGGATTTGCTTAAGATTTTTACTTCATTTGATTGTACATTTTCTTTCACATATAGTGCCAATCCCCCCCCGCATGACCTGTTCTGTCCTTCATATGATTAAATCCCTAAACAATGCACTATGTTCTTCTGAACCTTAATATATAATTACCATCTTTTTTCTCTGTGTTTATGAGCAACATATTTAGCAAAACGTGCTACCAGATTAGTATGTTGCTTTTTCTATTTGTGGCTAAGCTCCAAGCCTTTATGTTATTGTGAGGATAAAGTTTTATTCTAAAGCTTTTCTCCTCCGCTTTATTTACTTGCTTGCTTGTTTCCTTTAAAGAAAGGATTTAGAGATAATACTGTGTTCTGGACATTTGCTGCTTCTATTTTCAAAATACAGTACTCTATTTCTGCTTGCCCTGGTGCCCCATTGTCTCAACAGAATACAAGAGCAGTATTTGTATTGTATTGCAAGCGTGACTATCATTGAAAGAACTGCATAATAGAGCAAAGAAAACAATTTAAAAAAAAACTGAGCAACATTCCAGCGCACTCTTGAAAAAAAGATAAGCAGAGCTGAGAGGTAAGATCATAAACAAAAGCGGTTGTGCATCATTCCATCCTACAATTAAGGAAACAAGGGAATAGAAGAGTCTGTATGCAGCAGAAAAGCAAGAGACCAGAAATAAGAATTCTGTACTATTATATACATAGTCACAAATATTAACACAGAAGAATAGCAATCAGGAACCAAAGCCCCCACTCTACATATTGTAGTATTCCCAGCCATATCTCACAACTCCCTTTAACTTTAGATACAGATTTGCCTCTTTCACAAAATGGTCTTGAGGTATGGCACTTTGATTACTGTAAATTATTAAGATTAAATGTTGACTCACAATACTGAGGTCATGGAAAATAGGCTAGATAAATAGAATTACAGCAGGGATTAATTTCAGTAAAGTTACACTAGAGATATATTTGACCCAAAAATATTTCTGTTTAAGAAATTGAGCCCACGTTATTTACAGTTTCTTGTAGCATTGTCACAGACATCATTTTGAGACTGTGTCCCACACTTGGGCTTCAGCAGGTTGAGACACAAGTTCTCAGCCTGAACCTGCTAATATACATGATAACTTGAGCACTTTATTGCTCTGCACATTTTTTTAAAATCTCAGACATGAAGTAGTATGACTAACATAACATTGCCCATCATGCTGACCAATACTGCTTCATTGTATTCTGTCTGCTTTTTGTTTTACACTTAGATTGTAAACCCTTCAAAGCAGAGACCATCTTTTTGTTCTGTGATGGTATAGCCTCTAGTCCAGTGGGTCCTGATCCATGACTAGGGCTCCTAGGTGCTTTGGTAATGCAAATAAATAATAGTATGCTGTGTGAGTCGCATGTAAAAACAGGAACACACATGTAAATTTCCATGAAGAAAACAGACATAGTGTAGGTCAAATTTTAGGTCTAAAGATTAATAGTACCCTGTATTTTTAAATTATTTTGAACTAATTTACTGTACATATATCAATATATTCACAAACCTTTCTGTACACATTTGGAAAGCTCTTCTTTATCTTAGTAACAGGCTGATTAATCACCATTTAATATTATTTTCTTATAGGTTATACTCATTGGGCCAGATCCTCAGACAGCATAAATCATTGTAGCTTCACTGATTTCAATGGAGCAGTGCCAATTTACACTGAGTCTCTATTCAGTACCTTGTATGTTTTTCAATAATGAAAAAAAAACCCCAACTGACATTTTAGAAGATAGTCCACAGAAGGGAAGGACTAGTTTCTTAATAAGATACTTTACATTTATGTATTTGATATATATATATATAAATAAATAACATGATACAGAGAACTGCTTGTTATTCTAAATAGATAATATATTATTAAGTTATTATACATCAATATATTTGAATACTTTGTCCCCACTACTCCTGTTTCTGTTGCTAAATCACGTATGCGCAAGTGTGCTTAAAGCACGTGCTATAATACATGTAAGGCCCCAATCTTGCCTTGTGTGGACAGACTACTGTGCATTTGTGGAGCCACAATGAAGTAAACAGGACAGGCACAGAAGTCTACCTATGTGCTACAGCATGCAGGATTGGGGCCAACACACTACTGAGATCCTCAGAAATGATTTCATGGCTCTGTTATTGTACCCTGTAGAAATGAACAGTTCTCATAAGAGACAATTCAATATTGTACAACATCAAAAAAACATGTTTGAAAAGTGACTGAATTTAAATCTGCATTCCAAACACCATTCCTAGATTAGTAAGAAGTAAATTACTTGGTCATGTTTCTTGCTAAGAAATCCTTCCTACAGATCTCTCCCATTCCTGGAAAATGGTTGATTCTCTGGAAAAAAAATTTTGAATGTTGGTATTTGTATGCATTTCTATCACAAATATTATAGACAAACATTTCAAACAGTCAATTAAATTAGTATCAGATTACACATTAATTGGTAAAGACTTTCTAAATTATATTCGATATCCTAGAGAGTACTTCAGTGGTTCTCAAAGCCAGTCCGCCGCTTGTTCAGGGAAAGCCCCTGGCGGGCTGGGACAGTTTGTTTACTTGCCGCGTCTGCAGGTTTGGCCGATCGTGGTTTGTCACTCCAGGCCAATGAGGGCGGCAGGAAGCGGTGGCCAGCACATCCCTCGGCCCGCGCTGCTTTCCGCAGCCCCCATTGGCCGGGAGCGGCGAACCGCGGCCAATGGGAGCCGCGAAGGGCCGAACCTGCAGACGCGACAGGTAAACAAACCAGCCCGGCCCACCAGGGGCTTTCCCTGAACAAGTGGCGGACCAGCTTTGAAATGTTATGGGCTGCATTCTCCTTTCCCTCCAGATTTACTCCTGTGTATCTCTACTGACTTCAGGGCAAGTGAGAGGAGAATCAGATCCTTTTACTCAGAGAGCTATATGTAAACAAATACAGTTGTCACAAACTAATGTTAAAAAGGAAGATGACTTACAGACAAATACTAGGGAGAGGGGCTCTGATTATCTAACAATATACAAGCTCATATCCAATTTATCCTATAAATGTTTCTGTATTTTGAATAAAACACTCCATCTCTGATCACTCACAATGGGCCATTGGCAAGCAGAAGCACTCCTAGAACACCAAAAGATGTTGACACTAAAGGCCAAGTAATACAGAAACTTCATACTGGGAAAACAAGATAGAAATTAAAAATCCTTAGTATCAAAATATTTGGTGCAGCTGGTGTTTCTGCCTTCTAGTCTTGTGATGGGTTCAACTGACCCAGGAATACCAAGTGATTAATTCATGACTTCAGAATGGAATGTTTTTTTAAAAACTGATTCAGAAACATTAAGCATGCTGCATGTTACCTGGTAGTTTCGGAGCTCAGCAATCTTGTCTTGTTGCACAGCAGAATCACTCCATATGAGATTAGCAGTCTCATCTTCATCTCTTGTCTTCACAAACCCCAGCTCATCTATTACTAAACGAACTACACAAAAGTGATACATTTAAATGATATTTTGAAATGAACCTTCCAAATGTAAAATAGAATATTAATTTTCAGTACAAATTCACCCTTGGCCACAGAACAATATTAGCATACAAGCTAATGGAGTTCATATTGTTCAATTTATGATAATTTGGACAGTCTCCATCTGTCTATTGCATAACTAATTATAGTGTCATTACTGCTTGTACTGTAGCTGGGAGCAAAGTGCAATCTGCAGTGGGAACTGCAAAGAGCTTCTAAATTGTCCAAAAATAGTTTAGTAACAATCCACTTAGACTCAAATGGATTTTAGATTAGCTTTGTTATTACATATGTTAATTTTACAGCAACAATGACTATAGGTGCCACTGAAGCCAGCAGACAAGGATGCCCCTTAAGTCAAGGGTCTAATACTTACAAATACAAATTGATGCATTGTTCTAATGTAAAAAAAATAAGTCTAAGGACGTGCCGCACATAAGTAATGTTGCAGGAGAAGACATTTCCCCAAATGTAAGTACGATTTCTTTAAAAACTGTTCATTCAGCAATCTGCATAATAGACTTGCTCTGATATCTTCTCTCCAGAAGGGGACTGTCCCTTTCTGGATTTGAAGCTTTCCCCATGTGACAAAACTTGGCCTAGTGGCCAGAGCTCCAGCTGAGTATTTGCATGGCCATCAAAAGTCTATATAACTCACTTGAGATTAGAAACATTCAATCATTTCAACAGCCAAAGTCCTTAACTAATTAAAACCATACAAGGCAATCTATAGAAAATTCTATAGAAGGTTGTGTATTGCTATATCAACATTTTACAGAGACTGGATTTACAGGTAGGGAGCTTTAAAGAGCTTCCTGCTCATATTCATTCAGCAATTGGCATAACTGACTCTTAGCAATAGCTCTGAGAGGTATACCATATCCCTACTGACCTCACTGGGTGTTAACACTGAATCCCAGTGATGAACATTTAAAGTACTGAAATTTAAATGATTTTATTGCTGATCAAAAACATAGCAAGAAAGAAGAGTGACAGCAGTCATAGTATGAAGATATGCACAGTACACACAAGCCCCACTGAGGGGAGTCAAGGCCAGGAAGCTTACCAGTGCTCAGAAGCTATTTTGAACATCAACATAAACTACTGTGAGTGGCAACTCATTCTGGTATGGGATGTAAGCAGAGCTTGGTCAGTACAGTAGGCGGAGTTTGGAAGAGTACTGCTATTTTTCCCCTTCCCATTGATTCATAGTAAATGTCTCCAAGAATCATGACCAGAGATAGAGGATGCATCCATGCCTGTTGGTCCTCCTCTTTCTTTGGATTAGCTGTTTAACATGAGAACCATCCTGTTGGCTCATGGTGAACAAGTCCATGACTAGAGTTTTCCCAACTGCTGCAAATAGTCTTGAATGCAGAATGGGCCAGCTCCCATCCACCCTGCTGAACTAGGGTCTGCTTATACAATGAAGACCACAATTAAAAGAAGGACTAGATCCTAGGCTGGTTTTAGAGTATTCTAGATTTATGATAAATTCCAATGATAAAAGAAGAGAAACACACTTATTGAACTGCAATCTGGACCTTTGGCTTCTAACAACCAGTCATCTAAATGTGGCTGCACTTCAACTCCTTCCCACTGAAGAGCAGTCACTATGAATGAAAGAGGATATGCTGTTATATGCTACTGGGATACTTGCTGTTGAAATTCTTGTATCTGGTGGGGGAGGATTGTTCTGTCCAAAGACTTTATCAGTCTGCCTGCCCAGACTGAAGGAGAGCTGAAGGCAGTGTGCCAGAACTCAGGGAACCATGGGATCCAAGTCTGTCTCTGCTTGTGCTAGAAGGTGAAGGAGTGAGAAGGGAGCTGGGAAAACTGGCTCCATCATACCAGGTGAGAGTAAGGAGGAATTGGCAGGGGAGTGAAGAAACAGGATTGACCTGTTACCATTCCTTGAGCAGCTGAGAGGCCTCCTTTCCCAGGGAAAAGGCAAGAATCTAACTGATGGAATGTGGAGACACTGCATATGCAAGCTGCCATGTTGTAGACTAGACTCAAAGTTGCATTATTTTAAATGAAGAGCCAGATTCACAAAAGGGACAGAGGGGCTTGTCAGTGTTGCAGCACCTAACTTTTAGGCACCCTGCCACCTACCCTGAGTTAGGCTCCCAGGCTCTCTGTACAATGCCTGGGGAGAGTTAGGCACCTAAAAAGGGGTTTCACAGATAAAGGGAGCACCACCACTGGCATCTTTTTTACAGGTTTAGGGATGCTCAGAGCAGGCCTCAAAGGCTGGGGCTTAAGCATAAGTAAACGTCTCCAAGTAAGTAAGGTGCCGAGCTGCTGGGAGGTGTCAGGACTTAGGTAGCTGCGCACATGGTCATTGCTGAAATTTAGGCACCTAGAAGATTTTACTAGTGAAAACGTGGGTATCTAGAGACTTTAAGCACCTACAGGGATAGGCAGCAGCTGAGTGGTGGTTTTGTCAGGAGCGCCGCCAGCTTTTCTGCCGCCCTAGGCGGCGGAAGGTCCCGCCCCGAAATGCCGCCCCCCACAGAGGCGGCGGAAGGTCCCGCCGCCGAAATACCGCCGCGGTCACCCCCCCTCCCCAAATTGTAGCGCCCTAGGCGACTGCCTAGGCTGCCTAATGGGTTGCACCGGCCCTGGGTTTTGTGAATGCCAATTATGCCTAAATGTTGGACTTAGGCACTTGAAGTGAAAGTTAGGCACCTACATTCTAACTGTGAACCTAGCCCTCATAACTGTGCAGCTGCAGTGGGTTGTTAAGTGTGAACGCTGGGAATCTAAATTAAATTTGTCAACTGTTTCAATGCTAACCAAAGCATGCTAGAAAGGAGAGGGAGAATCATGCTATGAAGATTTTACAGTCTGAGTCACAGTTCATTTTCCTATCCTGGCTCAATACATCCTCTTACTTTTCCTAAGCAAGGAGATATGCCTAGCAGAGCTCAGCAGAGCACCGAAGCTGTACCAAGGGGGAAAATCAAGCCCAAGGAATGCAGAAGAACCCTTGGATGTATCTGAACCCCAAATGAAGGGAAAATAAGCCCACAGAGCCCAGCAGAGTACGTATATTTTGATCATTTGCACCATCATCTGTGGATGGAGCTTATTTTGCAGACAGATTTCAGAAGAATTCCACTACTACCCTTTTTCTTCCAATTCAAACCCTGGGCCCGTAGAAGATCCTGGACCATCAGTCCACATGGGTAACAAGCAGAACAGGCCTCACAGATATTACTATAAGGTCCAGAAACAATTTTATACTCTCCTAGACCACTCCCTGAAATGCTGATATAGCTTGATGGAGGTATAAGGAGACAGGGGTTTCCTACCTCAGCCATTCACTAAGGAGACCACCATTGGGCAAGGAAATGCTTTGTATCTGGAGACTGGCCCATTTGTCTCTGGAGAGATGTCGGAGAAAGCCTACTATGAAGATTGCTACATGAATAGGAGAATATATTTTTAACATGGTCATTGTTCAGTTTTCATCAAGTAACAGCAGTGGTCACCCCCATCGCCAAAAAGCTAAAATGTCATCCCCAATAACTTTATTTTTAAATCTGAAGCTAAGAAATATGCATCTGATGAAGTGGGTGTGCACCCACGAAAGCTTATGCTCCAATATGTCTGTTAGTCTATAAGGTGCCACAGGACTCTTTGTTGCTTTTTACAGATCCAGAGTAACACGGCTATCCCTCTGATACTAATCTAGTTTTGTATTTACACACACACACACACACACACACACACCATGAAGGCCATGTATAAAATTAATGGAATAGTGGCTTCAAGTCTAAGAAATGCATGAACATAATCATTTTCTTAGAGAGACGTATATGTAATGATTAGAGAATTTGACATTAAAATCTTAATAAAGTAAAGCAAGGTGTAAGTTCTACATTATTTAGCTAAACTCATAATTGAGATTTTTTCCTAAAGCTTTATTAATTGGTTGTTGATATTTTAATAACAGACTTAATCCTGAGTAACAAACAGGATTTATGGGTGCACAAAGCATGCAAGACCAGCAGGTATATAATATAACACAACACAGAAAGATTCCTATGTTCAAAAAGAAAACCAATGGCATTAATTCACTATGGGCCTGACCCAAACTCCATTAAAGTCAGTGGGGTCTTTCCATTAACTTCAATAGGTTTTGGATCAGGCCTTACAACAGTGAAAGTTCTCTTTCCTTCCTGATTCTACTTTTTATTTTACCCCTTCAGTCTGATTTCACCCTTTTCACAAACCCCAGTAGCTATTAAAAATAAGAAGAATCTGTAGCCTCCTACCAATTTCATATTTTGTGCCAGCAACGTTTGCAGTGATGATTCCATTCTTTTTCTTCTTTCTGACTTTTCTTTTACTTGTGCTTTGGTAAGGCAGTTCTGAACTCAAAGTCAGACAAGAGGTTCCTTGGTTATCTTTGAAAAATAATGTGTGTAACAATCAACAATACATAAATTAGCAGTCTCATCTTCATCTCTTGTCTTCACAAACCCCAACTCATCTATTACTAAACGAACTACACAAAAGTGATACATTTAAATGATATTTTGAAACGAATCTTCCACATGTAAAATAG